GGGGGGGGGGCACAGTAGCTAACCATTTTGATTTCCCTCAGTTTCACCACCTCAACAAGTCCAAACACAACAGCCAGAAATATACGGTGTTGACAAACTACCAGGTAATAAATGTATCCACCCGGTGCAAATAACTAATTTCAATCATGAATAAATGTCAAGCAAAATAACAAGGCAAGATGAAGACCAAATCATCCAATGTATTAGCCTACATTTAGCTAATTCTTCCATTCTACTATTTTGCGACTCTACCCCATCAGGCATCACCTCTCCAGTTTCTCTATTTTCCCTGAAGAGGGCAGTGTGGTGGTTGCTTGTTAAAACACTTTCAGTCAATTACATTTACAGGTGCATACCATAGACCATAAGATATTTTAATATGATTAGAACCAGTTCTCCATATGCTATAAAAGAAACACCTCACCTATTTAATATAAACAGGATTTAGCTGGTATTAGTAGAGTTTTATTGTTCACACTAACAATTAAATGGCTCAGTTTGCCGTACTGGCGCAGTATGAACTCACTCTCCTCGATCTGCGTGCCCTCGAACCGACTGTGACGCATATTTCCCGTTGTTTTCTTTTGGTTTCATCTCGTCCTAAATGCAAGACGTCTTGCTGAGTTTAGGGGTAGAAACCTCTTGCACACTTATGCATGTGGCATTTTGTATTTTTTCTAAAGTCTCAGAGAAATTTGACTTAACTGCCCTGTAGCGTGCACACACCAGTGGGGATCATGTTTAATTGGAGGGGGTTTGATAAATTAGAAAAATACTGCAACAAGGGGTTTATGTCTAAAAGCTATAGGCTTACAGCTGGGGCCTGGCTCTTTGTAAGGTGCTGATGTGTGACAGTTGATGGATTGAATATGCTATTTGTGCTAATACTTGGATCCAATATGTTGAATCATTTGTACATTGAATGAATCCAAATGAGCCTTTGACTAAGGTGAAACCACAGTTACAACAGATTGGGAGAGTCCAGGGTCTCATTGAGTTTTTGGCAATAACATCCCACATAATCCCTGACATGGTACAGACGCCCACCACACTTTGAGCGAGGCCCTTCAAATGGGATTCCCAAAAATCTCTTATTTAACTCGCTTTGAGAGGCTTGGCATTGTTTTAATGAAAACATACTGAATGAAGGGGAAAGGAATATGAATACAAAGAAAAATAAATATGGAAATGATTACCTGGGTGTTTTTTGAGCATGTGTGCCTGAGTATCTGCACATGGACAGCACTGTATATATGCATATGTATGTGTGTGTGTGTGTGTGTGTGTGTGTGTGTGTGTGTGTGTGTGTGTGTGTGTGTGTGTGTGTGTGTGTGTGTGTGTGTGTGTGCGTGCATATGTGTGTGCATGTGTGCATATGTGTGTGTGCATATGTGTGTGTGTGTGGTTAGAGTCCTGGGGATCAGTATTATGCTTGGACCGTGGCCATTGTGATTACTACAGAGGTGCAGTTTTCTCGTCCCTACTGAATCCAGTGTGAACCCTCACTTTAGCTTCCCACATCCAAAAATGCGGCTATGCTCACTGTTGTGCAAGCAAATGCAAAAAGACATCTGTTTAGAATTCCTGGCTTTAAATGAGAGATGGTGGTCTCTGTATGATAGGTTGATGTTTATTTGTGATTCAGTCCTTGATAAAACTCTGCAAAAACGTTCTGCACGCCTCACAGATGTATCATACATTTCAGAAGCTGTGTTTGCCACGTTACAGTGATAAGCTGCGTGAATAGAAAGGAGGAAGGAAGGGCAGTAAAGTGAGAAAAGCAGAGTTTAATATGAGCAGGAGTGTGTGTGGACATGCATGCAAAGACCTGGAGAGCTGCACTGCTGTGCAGGGACACACCAAGCGGCTGCCGATTTGAAGAGGTCTTTCATTACTTCTGCTCTGTCCAGCTGGTTCCAACTGACCCCCCCCACACTCTCCCTGTCTGTCTGAGCTGTCTGTCTTTAGTGCATCTGGGCAGATCTTTAGGCAAGATGGGGCTCAGAGAGATGTGTGTTGTTGTGGAGGTAAAAGGTAAAAAGGGACTCTAGGGGCTTATGCGGCACAGAGGCAGTACGGAGGATTATCTTTAATTCTGCACACAATAATGCACTTGACTTTGAAGACAAACACACACACACAAGGTGAAAGTGGAGGGGGGCTGGTAGGTGGAGGGTCACTTAAAGCAGAGGTTCACGGGGCCAGACCTTGCCCCAGGGAGGATGAGAGGAGGGAGGGATGAGAGGAAATAGCCAAATTAAAAACACATGCAAGGTCAAGTGCAATCCTTCACCTAGCATATAATGGAGGAAAGAGCCAAAAAAGGACCATGTTGCTGACTTGTCAGTCTGGATTTTCCTGTCTGCTTCTTTACAGTACATGTATTTCATTTATTTAGCTTGTCTGTCGATGGGTCAAGTCTCAAATCTAACGAAGTACGGAGCGTGGACTGCTACTTTGAGAGGTACCAATTGTTCTCCTGTGCTCTGTCAAGGTGCCCTTGAGCAAGACACCCCCCCATACACCCACACTAGATGTTACTGTATGTGCGATGCTAAGTATAATGTACATGTAAAATTAAAGACAATAGAAGTGGCTTTCAAATGTCCATTAACATTTCCCAAAGGTGAAGGAAAGCACTTGGTCTTTCTGTTGTTGTTAGTTAATTGTAACAGAGATCAGCAAGATGTACATTCAGGGTTTTACTTTAAATCAGCATGTGCTGATCTTTAAAAAAAGGAAACAAATTAAATCCATATTTATATTAACAATCTATCAAAAGACAATGTAAAAACAATATGACAGATATAGTGTTGTTTTCAAACGCATCAGGCAGGTGCTCTGAACTAAACAGCAGACAGACACAATCAGGGGCTAGTTTTTAGTAGCTAAATAGACCAAACCCAGAGCTAACACAAAATGAATACTAG